AAAATGAAGGGTCAGTACTGTTTGGCCAAAGTTGAGTTGCCATTCATGTATCCCAAGCCTAACAACGAGTCCCAACACAGGAGTCCATTACTGCCCGATAATAATACACTCAAACTATTGCAAGCAATCAATTACTTTAGGAAAACATATTTCCGGTTTGGCGTCTGTTTTCCTTCCACTTGTAATCCAAAAGAGATTAATCGGGCGTTGAATACAAGTAAGTAATTAAGAAATTTAATTATCATGGTCATTATTTAAATAACTGTAATTATATTTATTTTACATGTATATAATATATTAGTTATGTCTCCGAGTGGTAAACAATACGTTGAGATTGAGAAAGAGTGTAACGTCAAGAATAAGGATATTAAACGCAATGGCTATCAACGGACCGCACAGTTAGTAGAGCTAAGATTGTAAAATATGTTACGTATTAATTGTTTAAAAAAATTATTACTTACTTGTTAGATCAATATTCATAACCCTGGTAATATTAGTTCTGCTGAGTACTGCCATAGAGTTTTATTACAATTATAAAACCAAGAGTTTTGGCCGCAAACTTGTCATAAAACAATCGTTGTTAATATTCTCGGCCATCAGTAACACCAAGTTGTTATTCAAGAAAAGTCCAAAACATTTGAACACAATTAGCACAATATTATTGATCTTTATATCGTTGGAACTGTTGGGCCGATCGTACGTTCAGCCCGTGTTTTACAACAATATCGGTCTTCGGCGACAAAATACGGGCATAACTAAGGAGTTCTCAACCGCTAAGAAGTTCTTTTGGCTCAGAAACAGCTCGTATTCGATGTCCATATTTATTCTGATGAGGTAAATTATTTTTTGTAAATAGTATGTTGTCATAATAGTTTTATATTATGTTGTATTTTTATCAAATTAAAATATTTTTTATTTTATAAAAATAATTGCTAGCTTTTAATTTATAACAAGTGATCACTTAGATTCTGATCCATTCGTATTTAGGAATTTTTAATTTAGTATAATGTTATAAGTAATTTAATATTGTTTACAGTTTTCAATAAATTACTAATTTATAATCAAGAATCATTATTAATGATTGTGATTTCCATTTTTTTTATATTTAATTCTTATAGTCAAATTTTCGAATTTTTATTATTTTTAAAAAGTACAACAACTATATAACTAATAACTTATAACAATATTTATTTTAAAACTTTATCTATTAAACAATCAATTAAATAATTATGAAATATTATTTACTTACAGTGCAATTGTTTTGGCGTACAATATATGCGGTGATAAACGTAAATCCAAATATAATCCTTTGCATTATTTAAAGTATTTAATAAACCGATACTTAAGTCTATTTCGGCGTATAATTGGCCCCATATTACTGTTATATTTAATCCCATTATTTGGTGATGGTCCAATTTGGCATTATTTTGAGCCAGTTCATGTGAAACCATGTAAACAAAATCTGATGGCATCGCTATTATTTTATAGTAATTATGCGACAGGAATTGATAAAGTGGTTAGTTATTTGCTACTCACTATTATTTAATTAATTAATTAATAAACTCAGTCTGGTATAAAATATTAATAGTTAAAAAAAATTTATTTTAATAATATCTTTTAACATTGATAATCCAATTGGTAAATTTTTTAAAATCATAATATAATTATATCAATTCAAAAATATTATTACAGTTTACTATTTTAAAATATTTGTATAGTTATAAACTATTATAAACGTATATAAGTTAATTTATAAATATACTATACATGTACAATATTGATAACAACATCTACTATGTATTTTTATAAACATAAGAGTTGTTGTTGTTATAAACATAATTAATGTTGCTTGATATTATTTAATTTATGAAATTTTATTCAACAGTGTAATATGCCCAGCGCCACATTCTCAGCAATATTTCAACTGCACATATTTGCGCCGCTATTACTCCTACTGATCAAGCTCAAACACGTTGGATTTGCCATACTAGCTCTACTGGCCGGTGTTGGTTGTTTTTTAAGCATAGTACCAAGGTTATTCATGGACTTTCGGATAATGCCCTACGAAGTAGACCGCATGGAATCCACAACCGAAATGAGCCATTCATTCATACACTACTTGGGCTCTACTGAGCAAAACATCTCTACCTTCATAGTGGGTCTGGTGTGGGGTTATCTCTTACGCTGTAAACCCGATGCACTCAACAAAGTGGGCAAAAACGGTGTGCTTTGCCTTTGGGTTGGTTTTATGATATTACCCCAAATCGCCAGCGCGTGGGGCGAGACATTCAAAGCAACCAAAGGGGGGTTTAATGAGAAATCATTTCTGGTGTGGTTTCTGAGTGGGCGTGTGTTGTGGGCGTTGGGTTACGGATGGATTGTATACGCGTGTAGTACTAACCGCGGCTGTATGTGTAATTAACTAAATTTATAATGCACATTTTGTTATAATTTATTTTGTTACTTTATTGTAGGGATTATACAGCGATTTTTCAACTACCAGCCCATACAACCATTGGCTAAACTGGCGTTTGGTATATACCTGTCGCACATCATTATTATAGGCACCCGACTGTTGGCCATTAGAGAGACTTATGTTATGACACACTCAGGGATTGTAAGTAATAGTCAATTAAAAAATTAAATTAGTAATTGACGTGATTTTTGTTACCAAAATATAATAAAAATAAATAATACTATACAATTAAATCAA